TCTTTTCATAATGGCCATGTTTTCCCATTCATTTTCCACTCAAACCTTCTCTTCTTCCTACTCCTCCTCTTCCTTTCAAGTCCCCCTTTTCAAATTATTCTTTAGCATGAAAGCTTTTGGTTTAAATACCTGAAGGGCTGAGATTAGATGAAAACCAACCTTAAGATGCCAAATAAAAGGGAAAGAAAGAGGCCTATTTCTTTGCCACATATGGAGCCTCTGTAGTGCTGCGCACTCTGCTGTCTGTTCAGACATTGTCTCTGTTCAGTATGCGTGTCTTCTCTATGGCACAGGCTACTCAAAAGCCCCTACAAGTTCTCTCTTTACTAAAGAGAAAGAATGTATTTCTCATTAGTAAAGGCCAAAGAACCAGGTCCACTTTGCCTGAGAAGCATGTAACCCATATGGCTACATTTGTAGCATTTGTATTAATAATTGGAGCTTTTGTAGCATGCGATCTCAGAGTGATCCACTTACAGAGGTGAAGGAAACAGTAACATAATATAAAGGGTACAAAGAGAGGAAATCACTGCAGGATGAGATGCTGACTTGTCCGCTCTACTACTTTGCTAAAGACTGACTCTGGGCTGGGGGAGGTGGTTCACCCCTGTAATCCTAGCACTCTGGGAGGCCAAGGCGGGAGGACCATTTGAACTCAGGAGCTGGAGATTAGCCTGAACAAGAGTGAGACCCTGTCTCTACTAAAAGTAGAAAGAAATTAGCTGGACAATTAAAATACATAGAAAAAATTTGCCGGGCAAGGTGGCGCATGCCTGTAGTCCCAGCTACTCAGGAGACTCAGGAAAGAGGATCTCTTGAGCCCAGGAGTTTGAGGTTGCTGTGAGTGAGGCTGACGTCAGGACACTCTAGCCCGGGTAACAGAGTGAGACCCTGTCTCTAAATAAATAAATAAATAAAAAATATAGACTGACTCTGGATTTGCAGTTGCTTTGCCCAAATGCCAGGGTTCTTATGGAGAATAGAACATCTGTATGTTAGTCTGCTCAGGCTACCATAACAAAATATCAAAGACTAGGTGACTCAAACAACAAAAATGTATTTTCTCACAATTTTCATGCTTATTGTATGTCAACAATGTACTATTCCCAGGTACTGTGCTAAATGCTGAGGTAGATCTGTCTATCTTACTATTCCCATTTTTTTCCTCTGGTGAGAATAGCTTGTCAAAATCAGTCATAATAAAAAGTGGTCAAACAGAATTCCAAACCATGATTTTTTTTAAAGTTTCCGTCTTATGTTTTTGTTACCTGTTCTATAATTCTTTACTATCAATAAGGTATAAAAGAAAATATTGATTTGTTATGCTATATCATATACACACTTGTTTTTTTTGTTTGTTTTTTTTGTTTTTTTGAGTCTCACTCTGTTGCCTGGGCTAGAGTGCCGTGGCATCAGCCTAGCTCACAGCAACCTCAAACTCCTGGGCTCAAGGGATCCTTCTGCCTCAGCCTCCCAGAGTGCTAAGATTACAGGCGTGAGCCAACACGCCCAGCCCTACACACTTGTTTTAATAAGCTTTTTATTTTAGAATAATTTTAGATTTACAGAAACCGTGCAGTAATTCAGAGAGTTCCTGCATACACTCAGCCTAGTTTCCCCATCTTAATGTTACCATGGTACATTTGTGAACACTCAGAAACTGACATTAATACATTACTATTAACTAAACTCTATCTTTTATTTAGATGTTACCAGTTTATCCGTTAATGTCCTCTTTCTGTTTCAGGATCCAGTCCAAGGTACCATACTGCTTTTAGTTGTCATGTCTTCCAAGTGTCCTCTGATCTGTGACAATGTCTTAAGTCTTTTTTTTCATGACATTTACGGTATGAACGAATACTGGTCAGGTATCCTATAGAATGTCCCCAGTCTGGGTTTGTCTAATGTCTTTCTTATGATTAGACTAGGATTATGGGTTTTTGGAAGAATACCACAGAGGTAGAATGCCCTTCTCATAAGAATATACCCAGGATCACATGATATCCACATGGTATCACTGGAAATGTTAAGCACCATCATTTGGTTAAGGTAGTATTTGTCATGTTTCTTTACTGTAAAGTTACCATTGTTCCCATTTGCTACTCTATTCTTTGGATTAAATCATTGAATCTAGCCCATCCTCAGTGACAGTGGGAATTAAATGTCACTTCCTGTAGGGAGAAGTATCTATGTATACTATTTGAAATTGTTCTATAAGAAAGATGTCTCGGCCAGGCGTGGTGGCTCATGCCTATAATCCTAGCACTCTGGGAGGCCTAGGCGGGTGGATCGCTCAAGGTCAGGAGTTCGAGACCAGCCTGAGCAAGAGCGAAACCCCGTCTCTACTAAAAATAGAAAGAAATTAATTGGACAACTAAAAATATATAGAAAAAATTAGCCGGGCATGGTGGCGCATGCCTGTAGTCCCAGCTACTCGGGAGGCTGAGGCAGTAGGATCGCTTGAGCCCAGGAGTTTGAGGTTGCTGTGAGCTAGACTAACGCCATGGCACTCTACTCAAGGCAACAGAGTGAGACTCTGTCTCCAAAAAAAAAGTTTTCTGGGTCTCTGACTTAGTAGGTTGGCATTTGGTTTGTTTGGGGCTTTCATTTGGACTCTCAAAATTATTTGCAGAAAGAAAGATTTTGTTAAATAATAGCTACTGATTAGGTTGAGAAAATCTGACCCGTTTAGGTTTGTTGCAAACTCATTATTAATAAAGCCGATATTGAGGTTGTCATTAACATTGGAAAAGCAACATTCCTCAGTAATATTTCTCTGCCTGAGAAGAAAGTATATTGATTGCAATGAAGTTTTAACTTTTTCCCTTTTCAGAAGGGAGAGAGGGAGAAAGACACTATTAACTTAACTTAGGCAGAATGGGTCAATACTTTGGGCAGCTTGTTTATTCTTCGTTTTTTTTTTTTTACTTCTTGATTTACTAAACTATCCCATTCTCTTTATCTCACTAACAGAACTGCTACGCAGCTCCCTTTTCTGCTACCCATCCTCTCAAAGCTCCCTTCTCTAGCCAACCTCACCATCTGCCCTCGGTATCTACATCATAGCTTCTTACAGGAAGCCACCTGTGGTAGGGTCTCTCCGATGGCAACATAAGTCACTGCCAGAGCAGGTGAAAGCAGCCTGCTTTTTCAGAGCTGATGAGAAGGGCCTAGTTCTCTGTCACAGTGGGTGGGCGAGCAGCCAGGACCGAGGAATGCTGTGTCTCAGTGGTTAGCACCTGCAGGCTCAGAGCTGACAGTGCACTGTAATAAGATTCATCTCTGTTCACTTAACTGATGTGGGCTTTATGGTAAGTGTTTGCTTGCTTAATTACTTTGGCAGACTCACTGATTGCCTTTCCTGAGGAGTTCTAAAAGGTCCCTCTGGGATGGAGTATAAACCTGTTTCCGTGTCTTTTAATTTCATTCTTTTCCTGGAGTACTTGAAACCGGGACGTGATCCATATGGCCCACCGTCTCATCTCTCCTGTGCATGAACGTCAGGACCACTTCTATCTAGTATGGGATCCATGTGGCCCACACTGGACCACTTGAAAGTCCTGGCAGCCTTCTTCCTCTTTTTGCGCATGAGATCCTTATTCCTCCTTTTCCACCATTGAGGTTTATGTATGGCTCTTTCAGTTAGTTTGGGATCCATATGCCTCTTTTTCTCTAACTGGTATAGGATTCACAGAATATCTCTCTCCCTCCTCAGTCTAGCATGTGATATAAAGGTAAAATAATTTACCTTTATTTTGAAGTGTTGGGAAAAGAAGCCTAGATTAGTCAATTGCTCATTTTTCTGTCCTCCTTCCCTCTCCATGCTTAAAAAGTAAATGTCTTACAATAAATTGATTAATTGGGCTAATGGGAATGAGATGTAATTAAAATATTTCAGGTTTTTGTCTCATGCCAGCTTTTTAAAAAGTTCTTGGTTCATATTCAAGGGATTGGAATGTTCATCATTAATTAAAGTTATTTCACTTATTGGACTTCTGAGCTGATCCTCACTGCTTCAAAATTTCTTCTGGGTATGCATTAGGATTTTCTTGTGTCCTGAAGAGGGACAGAAAATCTAATACACATTTTCCCATGGCCTATTTTGCTACTTTGTATCTACTAGGTGTTTCTGAGAGCGTAGAGGGGTCTTACTTCTGGAGATAGGAAACCCAGGACCAAACCAATTCCAAAGGTTATTGAAGGTTTTCATTGTGTAGTCCCAGCAACACTGCCAGTAACTTCTGACCTGCTGCTAAAGACAGAGAAAGGGAATCTGAAGCACAGAGTAATGGA